AGTTCCGATTTTTGATCCCTATCTAAGAAATTAATTTAAAATTTAGCCACTCTTTTTGCTTAGTTGTCAATTTAACCCCCATTATCTACACGATTTTATTGATTAGCATTTATCAAAAGAAATAATTTTTAAATTAATAATTGACTAATTCATATGTAAACAGAAATTTTTTTAAGAAGATATTGGTATAAGAATTTGCTTCAATTAATAACTGTTTTAAAGGTTATACATGTTCAACGAGAGACAACGACGATACACAATCTAATATATTAAGGAAAAAAATTACTAATATATTTGATAACATAATATTCCATATAAGTTCGAAGAAAAATTGAGAGAAATACCCTCCAAGTATATCAAGTTGTTGGGTTGATTTATCTGTCGTTTGTGTTTTAGTCAATTTTTATATTTGTGATAATATTAAAGATTTGCATCCTCAAGAAAAAAATAAAAATAAGATTATAATTTGTGTTAAACTAACGGTATTGTATTGATATATTCACATGTCAATTTACACAATTTTCACAAATTGGCGTTTGTATTTATTGAAAAGACCAACATTTTAAGTGTCTGGCTCATATTAAAAGTTTTATCATAAAAGGGGCAATTCATACAAAAGGTTAAGATCATGTTAATATTAAATTTGATCTTGGTCTCTCTAATATGAGAAAATATCAAACATTATTGATTTTGTTGTATATGAGGCATTCAAACCTGTGAGTGAGTTGCAAAGTTGGTCCATTACTTAAAGCATGAAAAAGACAGTTCCACATTATATAAAAAAAACTATATCATTCACTTTCAAAAAAAAAGAATATAAACTCGATGCACAAATATTATAACTTCATAGGTGTCAAATAAATTACAATATACTATAAGGCGTCAAAACCAAAGGCTCTTTTTTGTATATTTCATTGTTAATTTGTTATTCATTTTCGTTTACTCTAGGTACAAATCTAAATTAACAATAACTTTACTATGTTTAAGTTATATAGAGCACTTTGAAATGAATGTCATAATATAAAATCTAATTTTC